CTGTAAAGCAAGTCCGACCAGGTGAAAAATACTATAATCCAAATGATTTTGAAATCCTTAAAAGTTTCTTGCAGGACTCAAGTCTGAACGAAGTAGAAGGTCCAGAAATAACAACAACTATTCCACCACCCAAGAAGCAGAGAACTGAAGAGAGACCTAGCTCTTCTACAACCCGGACGTCGGTATCAAAAAGAAAAAATAACTTTCAAACTCCAGCGTTTAAGAAAAACAAGAATACAGATGCACCGCGTAAAGAAACCGTGGTAAAGAGCAAAACACCACCTACAACGGATCGCAGGAGAAATTATACATCAAGGAGAACGCGCACACGGCCACAGAGTCAGGTGCCAGCAAGGCCGCCGTTCCGGAAACTGAAACGGCAACAGGAGCAACAAAAATATCAGGAACAGAAGAAATTCAAGAAGGACTCCAGACCGGAGGACGTCAAGACCAGCCGTCCCAGGGAAAAACGGAAATGCCAACAACCAGACGATTACTCCGCCAAGAGGCCAGCATGTAGAGGACGCAAAAGAAAAACTAATGTGGGCGACACTCGGAGGTCAGTAAGGAGAAGATTGACGTCCATGAAACCTCTAACTTGGGAACAATATTGCCAAAAAAGAATGACGGAGTTTCAAGCATCGAAAACTCAAAGATAAGTTAAAACCTTCTATAATTTTTTTTTTTTTTTTTTTCTCTTTTGTTCCGAAATGTTATGTATAAGTACGAAGTTCTATGTTTTGACGAAAGTCAATATGTCTCGGTTGAGACTTAGTTTTGTTTTACTTTATTTAGCTAAGGCAAAAGTATTATTTTTCTTTAAGTATAAAAGCTAAGAACAAGCATTTTCTGTTGGTCGAAAGACTAATTCTGTTATGTTAAAGCCAAAATTTGGCCGAAGATAAAAATAACTTCGTATTCTTGTATTAATAAGAATTTTAGTTTCAGTGCCGCCAGCTTGGCGAAGAATGAGTAAAGTAAAATTTATTTTCTCTTATTCATTTATGGTAAATTGTAAAAATCATATGTATTAAAATTTTGTAAATGTACGTAAATACTTGAATGTTATGTAAAAGTAGAATTTAGTCTAGAAGCATAAAATTTTAGATGCTAAAAGTAAAATGCTCAAAAGCAATGAATCAAAATTTAAGTATTAAACTGTAGATAAAGTCATGCTTTAGAGCGAAAGCCTGCATGTTTAAAGATGAATGAGGGGGAAGTTTAGAATGAATGTGTTTTGTAGGGTTCTCCACCTACACTTGAATTTTTAAGAATGTTAAAGTAGCTCATTGAGTTTGTAGAATGTCGAGTAAGGTGTGTCTATTTGGTCGTTGAATTCTAACAAATCATGGTGGTTAGGGGAAGTGTTGTAAGACTAAAACACGAATATTCCCGTTTGACACCACACATGGTGGAGAGCCAGGGTAAAGTTAAATTAATGCTTGAAAAATTGAATGAATGTGAATTAAGCAATAAACTAAGGAAAAAGAATCGTTTAAAAACAAAAATTTATTCTGTCAAGAAAGTGTAAATTATAATGTATTTAGAAAGATACTGATACTTATTCCTTCCAGATGCTGGAAGGAAAAGAACCAAGATTGATTGATGATGAAGTCCAGGAAAAGTTGCTGTAAGAAGAGAAAGTTATAAGTATCACAGAATTTTAGTATACAATTTGTTACATAATTTTTTTTTGTGTAAACGAGGTTTCGAAGTTAGTTCAGAATTATAGAACTTACAACAGGTCGTTTGTAGGACCTGCTTCCAAGTTTTCCAAATTCTGGCAGCGGCAAATGTAGGGTTTATATTTATTTAACTAACATTTATTTTAAGTTTAAAACTATCTTTCCTGTCAAGCCTTACTTTCCCCTGGAACTGCCAATGCCAGAGTATGTAAATTTTAGTAGAACGCGCAAGGATTCAAATTATCAGCGGAAGTATTCTGAGTTAAATAGAAAGGAAACGAGTTCGAGAGGTGCTGTTCTTACTTCACGAGCGCGGAGGTAGTTAGCCAGAAATTGAAGAACCCCGCGTTTCGGCCTGTGTGCTTGCCTCGGAGAATTGTTAATCGTTCAACGTGATATTCAAAGTTTGCTGAATTAGCAGCGGTATTGTAAAACGCGGTGAGGTTAGTTACTTTTAGAGAGCCTCGTAGTTAGAGTCTTGTCTTTAGTTTCTTTTCAGGTTATTATTTTTATTTGACCGCCGAGTTGGCGCAGTTTGTGAGCGTCAAGAGCACGCACTTGTAATTTATTACGTTGAATAAAAAGGGACTTAAACCCTTAACAAGACTCTGTCTTTTATCCAGTTTTCACAGTCACCTCTTGGTTGCGTGCAAGTGGAGGCGCAACGCACAATTGAGTTGCTAAAAATTATTAAAGTTTACAAATATGAAATATAAATTCGAATTCAAAATCTGCTTCCAGATGACGTGTTCGTAGGAGACTACGTTATCAAATTGGAGGCATAGGTACCACTGTTTTTACATTGTGCGAGAAACATACATACATTCATGCAGATTCTTCATTATTGAATTTCTTTAAAAGTAATAGAGGGCGATAATATTTCGTGGTAACAATCTGAAAAGTGATACGCCGCCAAATCCTGTTTCGAGACTAATAGCCCATTCAGGCTAACGCCCTTTTGGGCTAAAAAGTTCTGCATTTCACGGGAATTCTCTAGGAGAAGTTAATTAAAATTATTCGTAGTTTCCACTTATTACGTCGCTATGGCAGTATACCATGCGATGATTAAATTAAATTATACTCATACCCACCTTAAAAACGGCAGAGTCATCTGCAATGAATTTCGAACTGCTTTGGTGTCTCCAGAAAATTCCAAAGATTCCTTTACCTCTGTTAATCCAATATAGCTTATCGGGAAACGTTTGGTTGTCGAGATGAGGTACTAGGAAGTCTTGTAAAAGTCTCACTCGAGGTTTACTAAGCACAGGCATGTTCTGAAAATAGAAATAGCACTCATTTAATTGGATGAGTAGGATGTTTTAAAAATCCTGCAAGATTCAATAGACTTTGTGTTCACACAATTCTTCACTCCTTTTTTATTTTTAAAACCATTCGTCGTAGACATACAGGGTGTTTCATAGATCATGGTACAAACTTGGAGAGGTGATGGAGTGTACTAAAACATGCATTTTTTTATAGGAATGTAGCCTCTGAAATGGAAGGTTAAGGCAGGAACTCAAAAAAAAAAAAAAAAAAAAATACATGAGGGGAAAATGTGTTTATGTGCAAAATCAACAAAGTGCTTCTTTGTAGCAATACAGTATTCACAACAAATGTTCAAAATTGCTACCAGCAGCAGTAATACATGCTTGGTAACGTCGCAGAAGGGATTGATGCTCTTCAGATGGACCCATAAAAAAAATCAAGCTGGATGAATCTGGTGAACGGGGTGGGCATCGAACGGGTCCACCACGGCCAATCCACAGGCACGGAAATGTCTCGTCCAAGTAATTGCGGACCCGCACGTGGTTAGGGGCTGGTGCACCATCATGCTGGAACCACATGCAATCACGAACGACATCCGGTACATCCTGGAGCAATTCCGGTAGCATCTCTTGCAGAAACTTATGATAACATAAGCCATTTGTACGTGCAGGTAAGAGGTATGGGCCTATGAGGTTGTCGTTAACAATACCCGCCCACACATTCACGGAGAAGCGGGTTTGGAATGCATGTGGACGTGTGCCGTGTGGATTATGAGTTGCCCACACGTGCATGTTGTGGCTATCGAAGATGCCGTTCTGTGATAAAGTTGCTTCGTCCGTGAATAGCACATCGGATGGGAAATCCGCCTGTAACGCACACTGCTGCAAGAACCAATGATAGAAATGAACTTGAAGAGTGAGAACTCGTAAGAAAGTTGCCTCGACGGAAATGAACTCTGTCTCTTGCAAGGCGTGGACTCTCTGCAAATGGTATGGATGCAAACCATTTTCATGCAATACTCTCCAAACGGTGGAATGACTCAGCTGCAGACGACGTACAATAGCTCTTGTACTTGTCTGAGGTGATTCATGCACAATGTTCAAGATGGATTCTTCGATGCGAGGTTGCCGTGCACTTCTTCCACTCCTAGTGTCAGAGTTGGCTTCATTCACACAGAGACCGATGCAACCTCTCGAACATTGTGTGCTTCCGAAACCATTCCTGGTGCAACCGTAGCGCTGCTCTGCCGTTCCCATTAGCAGCACCATACATGAGATGCATGTCAGCCTTTTTCCTGTGCGTAAACTCACCCATCACGTTCGACATCAAAGTTGCGAATGATCCTCTGATGCATCGGATCGTGGTTTGTCCGGCTCACTATCGCCCTCTACCGCTGCATTGCCAGCCAATCACAGCTGTAGTTCCTATTACTGTCCCTTTTTTGTTCCTATTACTGTCCCTTTTTTGAACATTTATTGTGAATACTGTATTGCTGCAAAGTCATTATTGCTGCGAGTCTCGGCGAAGGCTGCAAAGAAGCACTTTGCGTTGAGTTTGTGCATAAATACATTTTCCTCTTGTGTCGTTTTTTTGCGTTCCTGCCTTAACCCGTCACTTTAGACCCTACATTCCTATACAAAAAATTCATGTTTTAGTATGCTCCACCACACCTCCAAGTTTGTCCCATGATCTATGAAACACCCTGTATATTTATTTATACAAATGTTTCAAATGACGCAAATACTCATGTTGTTCCTTTTTTTAAAATTTAAGTATCAATATTTTAAAAATTACGAAAACAAATTTTTTATAAGTTTCTCTATGTAGAAGAATTTTATACTCATTATAAAAAATAAAATATAAAATGTTTGATTCCGTACGGTAATATTAATTTAATTGGCTGTAAAGTTCTAGTTAATTTAGTCATTGGCTAGTAGAACTTTAGGGAAGTGTTTAGCAAATATTCACTGGTCTTCATACAATTATAACATATAAGTCCAAAGAAGGGTGAAAATACCTTTTTATTCACTCAAAGAAATACTAACAGACAGCACCTCTCGGGCTTACAGAAAAGCCTCCACTTAGGGTTTAACTTTATAAGGTATTTCTCCCGCCTTCTTAGCATGCCTGCGTGGTGTAATGGTCAGCACGCTCGGCGCGTATTCGAGAGTTTCGTGGTTCGAATCCCGGTGAGGGCACTGTTCATTTTTCATCTCTCCTGCTTTCAAAAATACCTAATGTCTCTACAATTTAAGAAAGAAAATAAACTAATTCTAAATAAAGATGGACATAATTAGCTAAAAACATATTAGCCGAATCTGTGCAAAGATAACTAACCAAGTTGGCCCGTAATTAAACCCCAGCGGCAAAACTACCAGGCACGTAAGCCTACGGCTGTACGTAATAAGGTAGGCTTAAAACAATGACGTGGCTGAAGGCAGAACATGCTGTACTGAGAACTTCTGAGGTGCTTAGCTCAGTCACTCCCGTAGAAGTACGGAAGTGACTGAACTTCCCATTAAATACTGGTTTTAGTCGATGCTTGTGTATTTTCTTTTGAAATAAATCTGTAGTGCTTTTCAGTGAAGCAAACAAAATTTCATTCATATTTTCATAAAAGAAAATCAAAAACTCTTTTTCTCTCACTAAATCAAACAATTGAGTTATTTTCTATATTCCTAAACACAAAACCCGTTTATGTCTCAATTAAAATAAAACGGTGGCACTGAAGTTTCAATTATGCAAGCTCTAATTAAGATTAAGCATACTGTCTTGGCTTTATTTTTACTGAGCTAAAAATTACGAAAAGAATTTACTGTTTATATCCATAAAACAAACTAATAATCTGATTCTTTTCCAATTAAATTCCAGGTCAGACTATGTATCATTCACATACATTTAAATTAATTTAATATAATGATTCGAATCTATGAATGCCGCAATTCTAGAAAATGATATGAGATTCAAAAACTCAAATTTTCGCATGCTTTCTGTGTAGTTCTTTTACTAAATTCATTCTTATTTCCTTGATGAATACAGGTATGTTTTTAAAATATTGATAATCTTAAAATTTTATTTATTACACGCAAATTTGAGGTTTTGTTGTAATTAAAAACATTTAAGTGAAAGTTCTATTAAGTACTAGTAATATTATTATTATATAAAGTTTCGGAAGCATTTTAGGAATTAGATTCCTTAAATGCATTTGAGATTCAAGAAAATCAATGATTCGTCCCTCTCTAATTTAATGGCTTCTTAAAATATTGTGTTTTGTTAATTTTATATTATATTAAATTCAAAAACACAGATTAAAATACATAAATACATCTATAACAGAAGACACCGAGCTGAAGCTTTAAAATGATCCAAACAGTTTCAGAAATTAAACCACAAATAATGTACACTGCGGAAAAAAAAGAGGGGGACCGCTCTATATCTCCCGTTCTACTCGGCCGATTGACAAAATTCAAGCAGCGTTTTTCATGTCTCGGAAGCACGACTTAGGATGTAGCTCTATTCTAACATAGTTATTTTGACACGAAATTGGACTTCTTCTGAAATAACACACTAATTTTTTTCCATATTTCTATTCTACGACTCAAATTATGCCTATATATTAAATTTTGTAAAATTTCATGCGAAATTTACAGAGAAATTAAAAAATTTATATTGGTGCAGTTTTTCAGTTTGGGCCAAGAATAATTCACTTGGCGAAATTTCTAATATATGACAACCAATTTCCCTTTCCCTTCCAATATGCCGAAGCGAAAAAAAAGGGCACCTCGTTCCTACATTTTTACATTGTGCAAGAGCTGAAAAAAAGTCACTTCATTCTTAATTTCAAATAATTTTAGTAAAGTGTCTATACCACATTTGATGTTTTACCGCTTTCAACAAATATGCCAAATTTCAAAACGTGACAATATATAAATTTACGAATATCTTCGAAAATTCTGAATAAAAAACTGTAATTTTTTGCAGGTATGCTTAGAAATACGTGTACTTCAAGATAGTGGTAAAAAGTTTACAGATTATAATTCAATATGTTTTTCGAAAAAGTTATAAAAATTATTTTAAATTATTTAATTCATTGAGTTACGGATTTAAAAAAATAAATCATAAAAACTGGATGAATTTTATTTGGAATGAACCTGAATTTCGAAATGTGAAAGGAAGAATCAAATAAATTTAATAAAAAAGAGAGATTAATAAATATATACCAAACTCAATTAACATTGAGGAGCTAAAATTTTGAGACCTAATTCTTTTAAAAACTACTCGTGCGATTTTGACAAAACTTGGTAGTTTGGCGTAATTTGAGTCGTCGAATTGAAATATGGAAAAAAAATTGGTATGTTATTTCAGAAAAAGTCCGATTTTGTGTCAGAATACCTATGTTAGAACAGTACTATATATAAATCTAATACATATCCTAAGTCGCGCTTTCGAGACATGAAAAACGCAATTTGAATTTTGTCATTTCGGCCCAGTAGAACGGGAGATATAGAACTAACCCATTTTTTTAAAAAAAATTTTCGCAGTGTATGTAATGTGGGGAAGAATTTGTCAGCGACGAACAGATGACCACATGACTAAGAATCAAATTACTGTCATCAGGGACTTGAACACGCAGTTGAACGTTCGGATAACTTTTTTACAGAGAATGGGTGAATTATGCTGAATAACAGTTGATGTATCTTAATCAGATGATACATCTCAGTATGATGTATCTCAACATTACATAGATTAAGTAACTTATGTTTTGGAGCCCTTTAGTAGATTCAATGATTCTGAATCATTAAATTTCTGATGCTACTTTATGTTTCTCATTGAGTTACGACGAGAAAAGGAAAGTAGCAGCATAGATTTCAAAGTATTATTCTGTATCGTATAAAAAGATATTTGAGCTATGGTGTAAGAGCTATTTTCGTTGCAGAAAACTTCTTGGCCATGTATATATTAAAAGGGAAGAGAAATACCTTAATGTAAAACTTAAAATTAGGCAAGA